AGTCATGAATGGGTTTACATTATTTATACTGTAGTTTAATAGCAAATAATGAACAAACAAAACACTCACCACACTGAGTGGTGGGAGGGCTGGCTGCCAGTTGTGGGGGTCGGAGGGAGGGTAGTAGGGACTCGCAGGTGACGGGAAACTTAAATATGATTTGGCGGCTGGGAATTTGGTGGCTGGGAATTTGGCGGTTGGGAATTCACGAATGTGTGAAGCCCGTGAAAGTTGAAAACGTGAATGTTGAGGGAGACCTGTATAGTATTTGTTGTATGTAAAACTGTAATTAATCTCTATAAAATGTATTTTTTGTGTGAGCATTTTTAGGTTTCTGGAACGGATTAATTGTATTTCCATTGTTTCTTATGGGAAATATTGCTTTGAATTTCAGACTTTTTGAATTTAGAACTAGCTCCTGGAACGGATTAAGTTCGATTTTTGAGGTTCCACTGTACCTCAATGCACCACTCACCTTTTTTTCTTCATCAATTCTATGGTTAACCTCATCCTTCATACATCCATCTGCTGACATGTCAACTCCTAAATATCTGAAAACAATCACTTCTTCCATACTCCTCTTCAATTTGATATCCAATTTTTCTTTATCTAAATCATTTGATACCCTCACTACCTTACTCTTTTCTATGTTCACTTTCAACTTTCTACCTTTACACACACTCCCAAACACGTCCACTAACCTTTGCAACTTTTCTTTAGAATCTCCCATAAGCACAGTATCATCAGCAAATAGTAACTGTGTCAATTCCCATTTTGTATTCGATTCCCCATCCCCATTCCCCATCTATGAATATATTAAACAATAAAGGTGACATTACACATCCCTGTCTAAGACCCACCTTTACCAGGAAGTAGTCTCCCTCTCTTCTACACACCCTAACCTGAGTCTTACTATCCTCATAAAAATGCTTTACAGCATTTAGTAACTTACTACCAATTCAATATATGTGCAATATTTCCCACATTGCTCCCCTATCCACTATCATATGCCTTTTCTAAATCCATAAATGCAATGAAAACTTCTCTACCTTTATTTAAATACTGTTCACATATATGCTTCAATGTATACACTTGATCTACACATCCCCTACCCACTCTAAAACCTCCTTGCTCATCCACAATCCTACATTCTGTCTTGCCTCTTTCAATAATAACCCTACCATACACCTTTCCTGGTATACTCAGTAGACTTATTCCTACATAATTTTTACCATCTCTTTTGTCCCCCTTCCCTTTATATAAAGGAATTATACATGCTCTATGCCAATCTCTTCCCTTCTTTCATACATTTATTAAACAAAAAGACCAACCACTCCAACACTAATATCCCACCCCCCCCACTCTTAACATTTGTCATAATCCCATCAGTCCCAGCTGCTTTACCCCTTTCCATTCTACATAATGCCACATGCACCTCCCCCATACTCACATCCTGCTCTTCTTCACTCCTAAAAGATGGTATACCTCCCTGGCCAGTGCATGAAATTACCGCCTCCCTTTCTTCGTTGACTTTTAAAAGTTCCTCAAAATATTCCCGCCATCTACCCAATACCTCCATCTCCCCATCTACTAACTCCCCTACTCTGTTTTTAACTGACAAATCCATTGGTTCCCTAGGCTTTCTTAACTTGTTCATCTCACTCCAAATTTTTTTCTTATTTTCATCAAAATTTCTTGACAGTGCCTCTCCCACTCTATCATCTGCTCTCCTTTTACACTCTCTCACCACTCCCTTCACCTTTCCTTTACTCTCCATATACTCTGCTCTTCTTATCACATTTCTGCTTTGTAAAAAACTCTCATAAGCTACCTTTTTCTCTTTTATCACACCATTTACTTCATTCCACCAATCACTCCTCTTTCCTCCTGCATCCACCCTCCTATAGCCACAAACTTCTGCCGCACATTCTAATACTGCATTTTTAGAACTATTCCAACCCTCTTCAACCCCCCCACTACTAATACTTACACCAGCCCACCTTTCTGCCAACAGTTGCTTATATCTCACCCGAACTTCTTCCTCTCTTAGTTTATACACTTTCACCTCTCTCTTACTTGTTGTTGCCATTTTCCTTTTGTCCCATCTACCTCTTACTCTAACTGTAGCTACAACTAAATAATGATCCGATATATCAGTTGCCCCTCTATAAACGTGTACACTTACCTACCTCCCTCCCTCCCTCCCTCTCTCTTTCTCCCTTTCTTCTCTCTCTCTCCCCCCTCCTTCCTCTCTCTCCCCCCCTCTCTCTCTCTCCCCTCTCTCTCTCTCTCTCTCTCCCCCCCCTCTCTCTCTCTCTCCCCCCCCTCTCTCTCTCCCCCCCCTCTCTCTCTCTCTCTCTCTCCCCTCTCTCTCTCTCTCTCCCCCTCTCTCTCTCTCTCCCCCCTCTCTCTCTCCCCCTCTCTCTCTCTCCTCCCTCCTCTCTCCCCTCTCCCCCCCCTCTCTCTCTCTCCCCTCTCTCTCTCTTTCTCCAGGTGTATATACACTTACTATAACCCACTTTTCACATCCAACCTTTATTTTACTCCACATAATCCTTGAATTAATACATTTATACTCCCTCCTTTTCCTGCCATAGCTTATCCTTCAATATTATTGCTACTACTCCTTTGGGTCTAACTATTTGAAACCCCTGACCTAATCCCATTTACTTCTTTCCACTGAAACTCTCCCACCCTCTTCAGCTTTGTTTCACTTAAAGCCAGGACATCCAGCTTCTTCTCATTCATAGCATCCACAATCATCTCTTTCTTATCATTCGCACAACATCCACGCAGAGACACCTTACTTGACAATTTTCTTCTTCTTTTTAGTAATCTGTACAGGAAAAGGGGTTACTAGCCCATTGTTCCCGGCATTTTAGATGACTTTTACAACACGCATGGCTTATGGAGGAAAGATTCTTATTTCACTTCCCCATGGATATAAAAGGAAAAGCAATAAGAACAAGAACTATTAAGATAAAATCAAAGAAAACTCAGATGAGTGTGTATACATAAACGTGTACATGTATGTGCAGTGTGACCTAAGTGTAAGTAGAAGTAACAAGATGTACCTGATATCTTGCATGTTTACGAGACAGAACAAAGACACCAGCAATCCTAGCATCATGTAAATCAATTACAGGCTTTCGTTTTACGCTCACTTTGCAGGATGGTAGTACCTCCCTGGGTGGTTGCTGTATTTACATTATTTCTTATGGGAAATACTGATTTGGTTTTACACCATTTCGGATTTAGGCCAACCTTCTGGAATGGATTACGGCCGATAACCAGGGTTCCACTGTATTTTTAAGTGGAAACGAAAATAATAGATGAATTTTCTTAGTCTACATGTGCACAAAATTTGCTCGAGAGCATCTCCAATTACATTGTGTATGGAATTTGTGTATCAAATGTCTGCATTAAAACATATAGTATAAGTAAGAAAATAAGAAAAATGAGCTGTAAGCTGCATTTATTAATTTGGAAAAGGTATGATACAGTGGATAGCTGGGGGAGGTGTGACAAATAAATAAATAGTATAATGAGAGAGTTAAAATGTTTTTACAAGTGAGGCTCAGTTGAGATATGCAGAAAAGAGAATTCTGCAATGAAGATGGACCTTAGACAGGGATATGCAATTTCACCATGACTGTTTAGCATTTATAGATGAAGCTGTAAGACATGAATGCTAGTATGTTGGGAAGAGGTGTAGGCTTAATGACTAATAAATCTGATAATAAATAAAATTTTGCATATTTTACTAATGGCACAATATTTTAACGAATTTGGGAATGTGAGTATAAGAAAGTTAAAATTAATAAGAGTATAAAGTTTTTGCAATGAAAAAATGGATGTCAGATTAGAGGGAAGAGGTGTATAGGAAGGGAATGTACCCAGCATACATATGAGGCATTACCAATAAACCCCTGGCTGTCTTCAAGAAGGCACTGGACAGGCACCTAAAGTCAGTACCTGACCAGCTGGGCTGTGGTTCGTATATCGGGCTGCATGCGGCCAACAGTAACAGCCTGGTTGACGAGGCTGTGATCCACCATAAGGCCTGGTCACAGACTGGGCCACGGGGACATTGACCCCCAAAACCCTCTCCAGGTATACAGTAGGTTATTAAATATCTGAGTGCTTATGTGCTGGGCCCAAGAGTTGATAAGTATCGAAAGGAGGCACAACAATGGATGCAAAATGAGGAATATCAGAATATAGTAGTGTCATTATTATGTACAAGTATTATTATATATTTGTACCCGAGTAGAACATTCTCATTATGTGGCAGCCAGGATACTAATTGCACACACACTGTTCTTGCATTCAGGACACAAAGTTGTTTATACAACATAAATTGTACCCATAAGAGTCAAGATGCTCTCCTCACAATAAAGTCATACTGGGCATAATTTCAGCCTACTAGAATTTATGTATAAATGCAATATAGACTACTTATAGAAAAATGATTTGTTAATTCGTTTATTTTTTCAATGAATGGTTTTCTATCATATTCACTAGTATGCTCTTGCACATTGTTTTCATGCATATATGTCACATCCAGTTACCTCACACAGACATATATATACATAGTGAAACCTTGGTATGATGGACTAATTAGAGGGATGGAATGTCCATTTAAATGAAAATCTGTCTTACTGAAATGGACAATACAATGAACATGGTCCATTATATGGAAAGCCTACTGGACTTTTATTACACTATTGTTAATGGACAAAACTGCAATGCAGCAGTCTCGGTCTGTTGTATCAGAGCCTAAGGAACCTACAGACACATACTACAGCGAAGCTCTTGATGCAGCAAACCTAGTCCACTGTGCCAAACATTTGTCCTGCTGAATATATTGTAATATCCAAGCTTTTACCATACAGAATATTGTGACCAGTTTAGAGGCTAAAGGAATTATGCTTTAAGCATTAAGGGAGTTAAGATATAATGGAATTTCTGACAATGTACTAGGACTATAAATTACCCACCATTTCATAATTAATAAAAAATGCTGATTTGAAGTTTTCAGCAATCCATTTTAGGAGTTGTGAAGACCTGTGTATAGTCATGTAAACCAGGACACACTCAGCCAAGAACAGTGTTGGTAGAGAATATTCCAGGTCAGATTCTTTGATCTTGGCCTCAACTTCACTGATGTTTCTAAGGTCAACTCCAGCAAGTTTGTAGGTATGGCCATGAAGATTATGCCTGTTGAGCTTAACATCATAATCTGAAAAAGTTATTCTGTAATAATGATTATGTTATTATTTATTCATAACGAGAAGAAAAGTACATACACAAACATCTTAACCCTTAAACTGGGCACATGGGGTAACTGTGATATTTCTTTAATTATTATAAGAAAATATAACATCAAAGATTGAATATAACTGAAAGGATAGTAAAAATATAATGACATTACCACTGTATAGTGTTAAAATGCAGTGTTCAACCTGTTTACATAACACCTAAATGTAAAGTGCAATACTGTACTGTATACAATACAGTATGCATAAAATATTCAGCTTTTCACAAGCACTGAAGTAATTACACTATGCACATAGGTTATTATTTGATGTATTTTACTGTATGGTAATACAACACTGACAAGTGAGGCAGTTACCAGCAGTTACACATCACTTGCTATCCCTTAGACTAATAAATTGTCAAGGATTAGTCTATAAATTCTATATTGTCACCAAATAATATATAATAAATAATTATAAATTATTTTTATTAATCCCCAAATGGGTACCTATAAGAGGTTACTTGAATTTTTCTTTTTCTTTTATTCCCTCCTCCAACTTTTCAATTTTATTTTGCTCATAGCTAAAGAATGCCTCATCCAACTAGCTTCAAATTTTCAACACTTTTGTACAATAAGACGGGCCAAATTCTTAGAATAATTGGCATATTCACGTGCCCTATAATCATAGTTGTTGAACCCATTCTCAGCATCGTGGAGTGGCTTAGATAATTTCCAAAATCCTCAGTGCTTCAAATGTTCAAAAAGTGCCAAAAAATACAACAACGTTGGAGGGTAAAATATAAATATGCAGGTGCAGATCTGACTACTTTGTATAATACAAAAGTGTTTTCTTGTTAAAGCAAGTCAAATAAATTTCAGTTTACCTCTTCTGAATGTCTTCAACATTTAAAGGTTGATCCTTAGTGTTAAATCGTCTGTAAGCCAATAATGTTAAGTCAGCCCATAATGCCTAGGCATAATAGAGGCTCTCTTTGCATTGCAACCCACTATTGTAAATACAAAATCTCAATGTACTATTTGCAAAGACATAAAATAAAATAAATAAATAAATAAATAAAATAAGGGCCTGGATAGAACTAATTAACTTTTGTTTGCATGCAGGCAAATTTGTTATCAAAATAAAACATTAAAAAAAAAATTGTGGAATGATTAGAATCTGTGAAAAAACTGGAGAATGACTTGTCTGATTGGCTTCAAATTTTTACCAATGGAGTGGTTTCTTTAACACAAGGTTCACAATTCCAGTGGGTAGCATGTCTCAATTTGCCAGCATTATTGAATATTGATATTAATTTTTTATTCAATAACTAATGAATGCTTCTCTTGGTTGGCTTCAAAATATTATTATGATGCATTTTATACTAAGGATGATAACCCACATGTTTAGTGTGCAAATTTGAAATTTTACTGAAATAGTTAAAAAAATTGTAACCTTTGGAATCGGATCAATTACTGAAGCATGACTTATCTGATTTATCTCAAACTTTTACCATTGGTGGCCTTTATGAAAACACAGTTTGCTACTCACTTTGAGTTGTGTAAATTTCAATTTGTTAATTTTATTAAGCAAATTGCTTCCCATGAAATAACTAGAGAATGCCTCTTCTAATCAGCTGTAAACTCTAAATGCTGTACATCTTAATAGGTATTTTTTATAAATTTAAAGTTGTGTGGGTGCCAATTTGCTAATTTTTTTTTTTACTAACTTTATCAAGCTGAGTTCTTCCAAAATATAAAAGTAAAATATTTTTTTATTACAGGATTGTAAAGAATTTTAAATCTTTCCTTCTGTGAAAAAATAAACTGGAAAAAATATAAATCCACAAATTTATGGCTTTTGAACAAGTTGAGACCTATTTTTCTGAACATTTTTCAGCAATATTTTCATCTGCTTTAACACACATTTTCGTTTGTTCCTCAAGAAAGTCTTATTCAATTGACTCCAAAATTTTGAAGTTTGTGTTAAGTAAGATGGGCAAGACTCGTGGAACTATCTGAATGCATGGGTGCCCTATGTAACGACACGAGTTGGTCATTCTTACTTGCATAAAAGTTTGGATTGATTTTAGCCTAGGTAGAAATTGGAAAAATTTAAATACTACTTGTCATGCAATAATTTTTGAGTGTCGTATCTGATCAGCTTCAAGTCTTCCATGCTCATAATGTGATAATGAAACTTCTAAGTGGTTTCAAGTTTAATGTGCTTGTGTATTTTAGGATACTAGCTGCTTTGAAACATATAAATTACATCTGGGCTGTACATGTCCTAATTTACAATTTTTATTGAAGAAACTTGGATATTAGCTTTCACTATGGTGACATATGAATGCTACTTCAGATTCCTTTCAAATCTTGAACACTAGTATTTAACTGCATTATCAACTTGTGCTGCACTCTGCACTATTCTAATTGTGTGCACTGAGGCACAAGGGACTGGGATTATGGAATATGAGGATATCTTCCTAGGATAGCACAGCAACTAAAATACATAGTGGACCCCCGCATAGCGACCTTAATCCGTGCAAGAGGGCTGGCTGTTATGCGAAATGTTCGGTATGTGAATGAATTTTCCCCATAAGAAATAATGGAAATAAAATTAATCCGTGCAAGACACCCAAAAGTATGAAAAAAAAATTTTTTACCAGAAAAAAATGTTAATTTTAGTACACACAAACTGAAAAAGGCATGCACAATTACATGACACTTACTTTTATTGAAGATCTGGTGATGATTGATGGGATGGGAGGAGGGGAGAGAGAGTGTTAGTGTTTAGAAGGGGAATCCCCTTCCATTAAGACTTGAGGAGGCAAGTCCTTTTCTGGGGTTACTTCCCTTCTTCTTTTAATGCCACTAGGACCAGCTTCAGAGTCACTGGACTTCTTTCGCACAACATATCTGTCCATAGTGGCCTGTACCTCTCATTCCTTTATGATTTGTCTAAAGTGGTTCACAACATTGTCATTGTAACAGTCACCAGCACGGCTTGCAATAGCTGTGTGAGGGTGATTTTCATCAAAAAAGGTTTGCACTTCAAGCCATTTTGCACACATTTCCTTAATCTTTGAAGTAGGCAATTCCTTCAATTTCTCTCTCCCCTCCTTTGAACCAGTTTCCGCAGGTCTGGCCTCTTGCTCTTGAAGTTGATCTATCAACAAAGTAAGCCTGTCTTTCATAGGCTTATGTCCTGGGAGTGCCTTTTCCTCCTGAGTAATGTAGGTCCTGCTTGGCATTTTCTTCCAGAACAGGCCTGTTTCATCACAATTAAACACTTGTTCAGGTTTCAGTCCTTCAGTTTCTATGTACTCCTTGAATTCCTGCACATATTTTTCAGCCGCTTTGTGGTCCGAACTGGCAGCCTCACCATGCCGTATCACACTATGTATGCCACTACGCTTCTTAAATCTCTCAAACCAACCTTTGCTGGCCTTAAATTCACTCACATCATCACTAGTTGCAGGCCTTTTTTTAATTAAATCCTCATGCAACTTCCTAGCCTTTTCACATATGATCGCTTGAGAGACGCTATCTCCTGCTAGCTGTTTTTCATTTATCCACACCAATAAGAGTCTCTCAACATCTTCCATCACTTGCGATCTTTGTTTCGAAAACAGTTAAACCTTTGGCAAGAACAGCTTCCTTGATTGCCGTTTTCTTGGCCACAATAGAAGAGATGGTTGATTTGGGTTTCTTGTACAACCTGACCAGGTCGGTGATACGCACTCCACTTTCATACTTATCAATGATCTCTTTCTTCATTTCTATAGGAATTCTAACCCTTATTGCTGTAGGGTTGGAACTAGAAGCTTTCTTGGGGCCCATGGTCACTTATTTTCCAGAAACAGCACTGAAAACACTGTAATAATACGAAATATTCCGATTGTATGCTTGAATGTTACCGCGGAGGCTGGCTGGTAAACAATGCCACCGGCGGAACATATGAGGCTGGCTCAGGCCGCACATTGGACGCGTCTCGGACGAAGGCCGCTGAGCGGGTTTTTGGGCGCTATGCGGGGCAAAATTTTAGCGATCAAAGCGTCCGCTATGCGGATTGTCCGTTATGCAAGGCGTCCGTTATGCGGGGGTCCACTGTAGTTGTTATTATTATCATTATTTTTAGGGGGAAAGGTCTTAACTTGTAATGATCATACAGCATCTGGAGAGTGGAGGGGAACAAGATTCAATCCAAGAAAAGGAAGGACAAGTCCAATTACTTGGATCAAGAGCCCCCTCACCAACATCAAGGAACCTCCCTTGAGAGGCAACAGAAGATGAACTTTGGATTTTGTTATTTAAATAAAAAAGACTTAAGAGAATTTGTAAAAGCTCAATTAAATGATACAGAATAGTGAAGGCATTTTTGAAGCAAACTATGTAACAAGTATTCTAGTGCTACTTAATTTTAGTATTGAGAAGAATAAAATTGATTTTAAGTACCTTCATCACTAACTGCCTGAAGAAGTTGCTTTGTTCGTTGGATGTACAGACATTTTCGAGAGGTTACCCCAGGAAAGTCCAGCTCAACAAATCCTTTGACAGATTTTCCTTCATCAATTAGTCTCCAGTAGAGGGTGTCAAATCCAGCTCCAATATTTACAATCTGACAGTTGCCATTATTCACCTGATGAAATTTTTTTTAAAATATATGACAGAATCCCTATTAACATTACTGTACAGGCTAAGGTATTTCTGGTAATTTTAAGAACTCAAGTTATCAACTGATGTCATCAATATTTTCCTATTTTCTACAGTTTACAAGAAAACATTGATATCAAATTTTATTTGTCTGAGAGCTCTGAGCACTATCAACTTTTTAGCATTCTGCCTTATAAACATTTATGTTTCCTTGACCCCTGCATATATTAGCATGAAAAACACACAATTCACATGCACAGTATAGTAATCACTCAGTTTTACAAATATTATGCACAAGCCCCTGGGCCAGCTAGCCCAGTGGCTTACACACTGGCCTGGAGTTTTACAACTCACTTGCCATGGGTTCAAACCCCCATCCATTCTGTAGTTCATTTGCAATCAAGTTATTACAATTTCGTGAGTCCTGAACTCTATGTACATAAACATCTTTTTCCACAAGGAAGAAATGTGTTGAGGGAGACCTAATAAGGCAAAGGCAGCTAATGTTCAATAATGCTCCCTTAATCTCAACTGTTTAACGTCACTTACAGTCATACTGCATACATTTACCATTTAAAGTTTATTGTTCAGCCTATAGACCAAGGAGTTACAAAAAGGCTGTATAAAAAATTATGGATTTTGGGTGTGGTAGATTCTCATGAAGTAGAGGATGATGGGAATTTACTTATCTATGACAAGTTTCAACAATTCTACTCTTTTGGTGAATGGTTTTGAAAACCAATAAGTTGAAGAACTGAGACACTTGTGCAACACATGGGAATCTTTATTGAAGAAACGTTTCGCCACACAGTGGCTTCATCAGTCCAATACAAAGTAGAAATGGGTAAGAAGAGGAGGAGTTCGAGGTAATCAGTCCCTCAACCTGGAATCGATGTGTTCAGTCCATCACTCTTGTAGGAAGTGCAGCATAGGGCCAGAGAGGTGGCTTATATATGGCAGTCAAATGAGTTGAAGCAGGAGGAGGCAGGATCATAGTGGGACCTGCCACTTGTGTAAGTAGGTCGTCACCCAAAGGTTGGGCAAGTGTTGAAGTGATCCTGCCTCCTGCTTCAACTCATCTGACTGCTGTATATAAGCCACCTCTCTGGCCCTATGCTGCACTTCCTACAAGAGTGATGGACTGAACACATCGATTCCAGGTTGAGGGACTGATTACCTCGAACTCCTCCTCTTCTTACCCATTTCTACTTTGTATTGGACTGATGAAGCCACTGTGTGGCAAAATGTTTCTTCAATAAAGATTCCCATGTGTTGCACAAGTGTCTCAATTCTTCAATTCTACTCTTGCAACCTGGCCTGAGGTCAGACTTTCTTCTCAAGTACCCAATAAACCCGGCTTGGAGGCCTACAAAAAATGCATCCTGACTATTGTGGCACATTTTGCAGGAATTGGTACAGTTTTTCCCTTGAAAAATTCTACCTCTATTCTGGCATTATCTTTTTATATCTGCTGGTAGAAGATAGAAAGATTAGCAGAGAAAGTAAACAATGACTAAGTATTAACTGAAGGAGAGAAAGAAAACAATAACAAGTATTGATTGAAGGATAATCAGAGAAAGAAAACAATGAGAAGAATTACACATCATACAATTCAAGGAGCTGTCTATACCTGAGGTAAAGTGTGGAGTGAAGTAAAGACAAATGCTTTAAGGAATGGTTGAAGCAAACTTTTACTAAAAAGAGATAGATGGAGAAGAATGATATCCTATAAGCAGTTGGCATTTAAAAGTCAGTAACTGATAAATTATGAGCTGGCAAGTTACTATGCACAGCTAGGAGTCTAACTTTATAGTTTGAAACGCACTATTCCAGACTATGGAGCCGAGCTCTTCTTCAGGCTGAGGGAATGACCACCTCAAAACTATTACAGTACTTTAAGCATGGTGGACTGATTACATCACCTTGACATCTCTACTGATTCTGCTGTCTCCTCTGTATTCAACTGTTTGCAGTTTCCTCTCAGAATCTCAGCCATTTTAATAGTTGTTTTGAAGCTTCCATGAACTATAAAACTTTTTTTTTTTTTTTTTTTACATTTAGATATATACAATCTGGCAATCTTTTTCTTTCTCTGAACAATTTTTGTTAAGTCATAATAGCATATCTGATTCAATATAAAGAAATTTCAAAACAAAAGCTGAATTGTTAGTCATCAGTCACTCCTCTCCAAGTGTTTTATAAAAAAATTTTCAAGTGGCTCTTCCACTTTTTACAACATTTGTCAAAGTAACTGGCCTATAGTTTAAAAGTTCTCAGTCGCCTTTCTTAATTATTGGCACAAGGTGTGCCCATCTGCTTTTCTGCTAGTTTACCTTCTTGTAGTGATATCCTAAAAATTTTCCTGTGGATATCTCAGATCTTCTGTATATTCTTTTAAAACTCATGTTGCTATTCATCTGGTTATACTGCTTTTTTATTTGTCAGCATCTAGTAATAATTATATTAGTACCTCTTTAGTTATCTCAATAGCCTCTAAATCAATTATCTGTTTTTAATATTTAAATCTGCTACATATAAAATATCTTCTGCAAAAACATCTTGAAACTTTCTATTAATATCTCACACATTTTATTCTCCATTTCAGTAGTTTTGTTGTCATCCTTAATTTTTCGTACAATACTGCATTTTGTCTCTTAAACTTTGTTTACTTTTTATGAACATGAATAAAAAGATTTCCTTACATCTTGATCTTTTCTACTATGCGCTTCTCCCTCCCTTCATACCTTTTTGTATTCATTTCTTGCTGTTTTATATCTCTAATAGGTCTCCAGATTGGCCTACTTCCTATATAGGTTCCAAGTCCTTTGTTTTTTAATGTTCTCCAGTATCTTCCATTAAACCATTTTTTAATATTTCTTTTTTTACCCCTCTTTTGGATAAACTTTAATTCCAGCTTCATAAATATTACTGAGCTCTTTGCATTACATTATTCTCTTGTTATATTACACACTTAAAGCACTGTATAGTGGTACCTAGAGTTTCAAACAGCTCCCAACTTGAACTATTATGTAAGTGTATTTTTGTAGGTGCTTTTGTAAGTATTTTTGGGGGTCTGAAATGGACTAATCTAATTTACATCATTCCTTATGGGAACAAATTCATTCGGCATTGGCACTCGAACAGCCTTATGGAACGAATTAAGTTTGTAACTCGAGGTACCACTGTATTATCCTTTCTTGTATTCTAGTAATTCCTGTGTGTCTTTTTCTCCTCTCAGTCATATTTAATTGCACATGTTATTTCCAATAAAACATGATCACATTTTCCAAGGAGTTTTAGATAGTTTATGCTGAAAATTATGTTAAGGAACTGCTGAATTTTTTTAGTTCCAGCCTCATAGGCTGTCCAATTTATTTCTTTATAGTAAAAATTTTCTAATTACAATACAGTGGACCCCCGGTTAACAAACTTTTTTCATTCCAGTAGTATGTTCAGGTGCCAGTACTGACCGAATTTTTTCCCATAAGGAATATTGTGAAGTAGATTAGTCCATATCAGACCCCCAAACATACACGTACAAACGCACTTACATAAATACACTTACATAATTAGTCGCATTTGGAGGTGATCGTTAAGCGGGGGTCCACTGTAATTTTCTTTGTAATAAAAAAAAAGGACTAGTTGCAGTGGTACATTTCGCTCATGGGTGAGTTTTTTCAAGTACATAACAGACATAAGAAACAAACAGCTTAAATAATACACAAGTCAAATGCACGTCAGGAGCAGAGGTCGAGGTTTCAAATTTAACAGAGGTAGTACAGGTGACCTACCAATCCATTAAAGATTTTCTCTGGTCTAGAGAAATTCGGACTGTTTAGTTGATGGTGTATTTCCAAGTTTTACTGTAAAAGATTCCAAGCATCTATGCGTGACTATCATGAGATAGGATCAGATTATTGTTCCAAAAAAAATTATGAAGTAAAGAACTGATACTTACAACTGTTCACATTTAAATTTACAAACACCATCAAACAGAACAAAATGCTTTATAGTATGAATTGCTCAAAGACTCAAAAAAATCCTATATGGGTTGGCAGCTACTTACAATACCTGAATTAAATTTAAAAACCTCAATTCACCAGCACAATTTATGCTGTTTGTTTCTCACATTGTGGAGATGTCATGTCCGAAGGCAGTATGTGGTGTAGCTACTGAGGTGGTTTGGACACAGAGGATGGAGCAAAATAGGATGACTTAGTCCACTGGTTAGGTTACAGAAACCTATGGCAATAATTAACAACTACTACCTGGCACAACTTGGGCAACAGTTTACAATTTACAATACACATAACCAATGTACACCACAAAATAAGAATTTCTTGTGCAAATTGTTATTCTAAGAGATACTATTAGTGACAACAGTAAATTAAGTCTGGTCACATAGCATGTCTGAATCAATGTTTAACATGAGGTCATGTCATATGCCTGGCCAAACGTAAACAGAGATGTAAATCTATCAATAACTGTTACATTGTTAGGTTAGGGTTTTTCAGGTTGGTTTAATTGGTTTGTTACATTTTTTAACCATTTGCACAGAAAAATAATATCTCAACTCTAAAACCAGCTTAATACTGTACAATTCAAACTATGGTTGATCAGGCCCTGTTCCACCATGAGGCCTGGTCACAGACCGGGCCGCGGGGGCATTGACCTCCGGAACTCTCTCCAGGTAAACTCCAGGTAATTAACACTCTCGATCAACTGATAAGAAGTCATCCTTTATTACTACCTATCTTATAAAATTCCTTTTATTCATGAATAAGTAAACTTTAATAGACATGACATGCATGGCAATGCAGTGCTCCAGGGATGGCTGCCAGCTTAATAGATGTTTGTGTTTGATTAGCCAGCTGACAGCCCAATAACAGAAAAAAAAAATATATAAAAATCAAGAGTACAGCTATATGATTAATTAGGCACGTGTAACACCTTGGCATTTTTTTGAAGACATGTTGTTATACAGCAGCTTTATTAATTTAACACAGAGGTACTGGAACATCTCTGTAGTGAATTGATAAAATCCACTGGTTGGCAAAACGTCTTCAAATAAAAATACACAGGTGTTCCATGTGTTTAATTCTTTATCTTGTCGGTATTATATACCAATATTGTTAGGCCAATCAAGTTTTAATGTTATAATAAAATGTGTATAAAAATAAATTATAAAACACCATAATAACGAAATTTACTTCAGATGACATGCTGTCAATTACATTACCTCGATAAATTTATCTACGAGTATTTTAATTGCAACAGCACGAGCGAAGTAGCCACGATTGATCTCCGGTGCTTTGCGGTCGGTTGACCTAACGAAGTAGCTGATGTAGCGGTCATGCCAGTAGCCCAGGGCGACGGCACACCTCTTGCAGGAGGCTGCGTCGTCGTTGGTGGCGATGACAGCCTCGTCGTTGCCTACACTGTCGACGAGAGAGAGACCGTCCATGACAGCTGCAGCAGCGACCCACTTCCTGCACTCACAGTTTGTAAACACCAGCAGACGACGTCACCTGCCATCACTACTCGCACAACACACCACTCAGAAAAATAATAATAAAACACAACATCGTTACTCCCCACCTTTACAAATTAAACAAAAATAATAAACTTTACTTTTATACCCTCTCTACAGGTCTATCAAGATTATAATTAACTAAAATAAATGTAAGTTGTATTTGTGAGATTATCGGTCATGTTTGCCAGGCACTGAAGCTCGAGTGTAAACACACTATTGCCCTGACCTTGACTTACCTTTACCCTTGTACTTATTGCTCTACTGCCCGATATTCTTCGTTATTTAAGCTCTTGCATTCTCTCCAGCTCCTGGGGAGTGTAAAAATATTTCATACCTGCCCTCCCAGACATCAGGTTTCAGGTCCTGTGACGTATATCAACGTTAATTCGTTCGTAGTACCTTCTGAGTCAACTTTTCTCTCTCTTGTCTAAAAAACTTATACAAACCTGGGGATCTTCGCAGTCTTCTCTCTGCCAAGAAAAGCCAAATCGACATCCAAGTTTGATCAGCATCAATGCCGGCACAAGTCTAACCTTACTAACAAGTAACGCGCAATTATAAATCTCCTGCAGTCATTAGAAGAAGCCCTAAAGAACATTGGTCTCTAAAGAAGATATTCTAATCCATTCTCAAGATGCAGGTAATTTTTATTATGGAGTTTGAGATAATCAGTCCCTCAGCCTGGAGTCAACGTGTTCAGTCCATCAATCTTGAGACAAGTACAACATATGCAGTATACTGCAGTATATAAGCCACTTCTCGGAACATACACCATACTTTTTTCAAGATTCATGGACTGAACACATTAAATTCTTGTTATGTATTGTATTTTCTTTGTAACCCTTAAACTAGTATAGTAAACGCTGGTAAAAGTCCTGTAGTACTTAATAATATGAAGACTTGTCAAGGAGTGCCTGTAAAGGTACTTGTTACTTAGTTTTTATGGCGAGTCGGTGCAACAAAGGCTCCCTCCCTTCCTGCTCACTAAAATATCTGCTCTAACAACTCCCCAGGGAATTGTGTAACTGGGGCAGTAATAATTTATAACTGAATATGGGAAAATAATTATAATTTGAAATGTACAATATGAAGTTGTCTTCACATTTTAGATAGTATTTTGTTAAGCAGATTGTAAAAAACAGCCTAATAAAACCTAGTTAACCCAACTTAAAATAACCTAATGTAACTTGACCTTACTATGTCACTGGTAAATGTGCATCTTTGTTTATGTTCAGTCAGGTGTGTGCCATGACACAATATTAACCATTGACTGGCTTATGTTTTGCATAGCCAAAACAAGTGTACTATTTTCACAAATTATTATTATTATTAACACACTAGCTGATTCCCACCAAGGCAGGGTGGCCCGAAAAATAAAAACTTTCACCATCATTCACTCCATCACTGTCTTGCCAGAGGGGTGCTTTACACTACAGTTATAAAACTGCAACATTAACACCCCCCCTTCAGAGTGCAGACACTGTACTTCCCATCTCCAGGACTCAAGTCCGGCCTGCCGGTTTCCCTGAATCCCTTCATAAATGTTACTTTGCTAACACTCCAACAGCACGTCGAGTATTAAAAACCATTTGTCTCCATTCACTCCTATCAAACACGCTCACGCATGCCTGCTGGAAGTCCAAGCCCCTCGCACACAAAACCTCCTTTACCCCCTCCCTCCAACCTTTCCTAGGCCGACCCCTACCCCACCTTCCTTCCACTACAGACTGATACACTCTTGAAGTCATTCTGTTTCGCTCCATTCTCTCTACATGTCCGAACCACCTCAACAACCCTTCCTCAGCCCTCTGGACAACAGTTTTGGTAATCCCGCACCTCCTCCTAACTTCCAAACTACGAATTCTCTGCATTATATTCACACCACACATTGCCCTCAGACATGAGATCTCCACTGCCTCCAGCCTTCTCCTCGCTGCAACATTCATCACCCATGCTTCACACCCATATAAGAGCGTTGGTAAAACTATACTCTCATACATTCCCCTCTTTGCCTCCAAGGACAAAGTTCTTTGTCTCCACAGACTCCTAAGTACACCACTCACCCTTTTCCCCTCATCAATTCTATGATTCACCTCATCTTTCATAGACCCATCCGCTGATACGTTCACTCCCAAATATCTGAATACATTCACCTCCTCCATACTCTCTCCCTCCAATCTGATATCCAATCTTTCATCACCTAACCTTTTTGTTATCCTCATAACCTTACTCTTTCCTGTATTCACTTTTAATTTTCTTCTTTTGCATACCCTACCAAATTCATCCACCAACCTCTGCAACTTCTCTTCAGAATCTCCTAAGAGCACAGTGTCATCAGCAAAGAGCAACTGTGATAACTCCCACTTTATGTGTGATTCTTTATCTTTTAACTCCACGCCTCTTGCCAAGACCCTCGCATTAACTTCTCTTACAACCCCATCTATAAATATATTAAACAACCACGGTGACATCACACATCCTTGTCTAAGGCCTACTTTTACTGGGAAATAATCTCCCTCTTTCCTACATACTCTAACTTGAGCCTCACTATCCTCATAAAAACTCTTCACTGCTTTCAGTAACCTACCTCCTACACCATACACTTGTAACATCCACATTGCCCCCCTATCCACCCTGTCATACGCCTTTTCCAAATCCATAAATGCCACAAAAAACCCTCTTTAGCCTTATCTAAATACTGTTCACTTATATGTTTCACAAATATCTCCCAAAATAATTTGCAAGTGTACATATATTGTATGTATTGTAAAACATAAACTAATTTCCGAGTTTGGCTGAGTAGCAGTTATTAACTATAGCCAAGGAGCATTGAATATAAATAGTAAAAGGTGTATATTGTAAAGAGAGCCAAAGGCTTAGTCTTCCCAGTGGAAGTACAGTGGACCCCTGGTTAACGATATTTTTTCACTCCAGAAGTATGTTCAGGTGCCAGTACTGACCGAATTTATTCCCATAAGGAATATTGTGAAGTAGATTAGTCCATTTCAGACCCCCAAACATACACGTACAAACGCACTTACATAAATACACTTACATAATTGGTCGCATTCGGAGGTAATCGTTATGCGGGGGTCCACTGTATTTCACTTTACCAATAATATATCACATACAGTGGACCCCCGGTTTACGATCAGCTCCCAATGCGACCAGTTATGTAAGTGTGTTTGTACGTGCATGTTTGGGGGTCTGAAATGGACTAATCTAATTCACAATATTCCTTATGGGAACAAATTCGTTCAGTAACGGCACCTGAACATACTTCTGGAATGAAATAATATCGTAAACCGGGGGTCCACTGTATTTTATAATTAGGTACTTGCTCATTATTATTGACTTACCATTGCTAGTTTGTAGGTCTTTGGAGGGTGTTCCAGGGGTCAGCACAACCACAGCCTTTTCCATAACCAGGCCTCGTGGTGAATCAGGGCCTGATCACCCAGGCTGTTACTGCTGGCCACACACAATCTGACGTATGAACCACAGCCTAGCTGGTCAGGTGCTGACTTTAGGTACCTGTCCAGTTCCCTCTTGAAGACATCTAGGAGTCTATTGCTAATCCCCCTTATGTATGGTGGGAGGCAGTTGAAGTCTTGGCCCCCTGATATATATTGTATTGTCTCTTACCGTACTTATGGCACACCTGCTTTTCATTAGGGAGATGTTGCACTGCCTGCTGAGTCTTTTGCTTTTATAGGAAGTGATGTCTATATACCTTTACCTTTGAAGAGTTTTGAGAGTTTATCTACCCTCTGAGCCTGGTCATGGGCCAGGCTCGTCTGGGGCTTGCCTGGTCAACCAGGCTGTTGCTGCTGGAGGCCCACTGCCCCACATATCCAACACAGTCTGGTTGATCTGGCACCTGGTGAAGATACTTGTCCAGCTTCCTCTGGAAGGCTTCTACACTTATTCCAGCCATGTTTCTGATATCTTCTGGTAGTATGTTGAATAGTCTGGGACCCCGGATATTGATACAGTGTTCCCTTATTGTTCCCCACCGCACTCCTGCTCCTCACTGGGTGTGCAGATTTGAGACCAGGCCCTTGAGTATTTTCCAGGTATATATTATCATGTATCTCTCTCTCCTCCGCTCCAATGAATACATATTCAAGACTTACAGGCGTTCCCAGTAGTTTAGGTGCTTTACAGGTTCAATGTGAGCCATAAACAATCTCTGTATTTGTTCCAGCTCCGATATTTCTCCTACTTTGAATGGGACCATCAGCACTGAGCAATATTCTAAGTGAGAGAGCACTAGTGATTTGAAGAGTGTCACCATCGGCATTATTTCTCTTGTTTTGAAAGTTCTCAATACCCACCTCATCAGCTTCCTGGCTGTTGTGATCTTTGTGTTGTTACGGTCTTTTAAAGAAAGGTCCGCTGACATAATTATTCCTAAGTCTTTTACGTGTTCCTTACGTTCTATTTGGTGACCCTCTTGAATTTTGTATATAGTGTTCCTTTTGAGTTCTTCATTCTTTCCATACCTAAGCAGCTGGAGCTTATCACCATTGAATGTCATGTTGTTCTCCACTGCCCACTGGAAAACCCTGTTTATGTCTTCCTGTACTTTTTCAGTGTTCTCTACTGTGGTGACTTTCATGCTTATTTTAGTGTCATCTGCAAATGATGATACAAAAGTGTGCTGGGTGTTTTTGCCTATGTCTGCTATGAGGATGAGAAACAGCAGAGGTGCCAGGACAGTGCTTTGGGGCACCTCGCTGATGCTGGATCTTGCCCTGTTCACTACTACTTTATATGTTGTTTGTGTTAGGAAACCGAAAATCCATCTGCCTACCTTCCCCGTAATGCCCATGGCTTTCATTTTGTGCACTATCACTCCATGATCGCATTTGTCAAATGCCTTTGCAAAATCTGTGTAAATCACATCTGCGTTTTGGTCATCTTCGAATGCCTCCATAATTCTGTCATAATGGTTCAGCAGCTGTGACAGGCATGATTGTCCTGCTCTAAAACCATGCTGGTTCGGGTTATGTTTGCTGTGCTGCTCCATGAAATTTGTAATCTGCTGTCTCGTCACTCTTTCAAAGATTTTTATGATGTGCGAGGTTAGGGCTACTGGTCTAATTTTTAGCTAGTGCTCTATACCTCCCTTATGCAAAGGAGCTATGTCGGCACTCTTTAAGGCCTCCGGTATTTCACCTAGATCTAAGTTCTTTCTCCAAAGAATACCAAGGGCTCGTGCTAGTGGTACTTTGCACTTCTTTATAAACAGAGCATTCCATGAATCTGGTCCAGGTGCTGAGTGAGTGGGCATGTTTTCCATTTCTTTTTTCGAAAACTTTGGGATTTTTACTAATGTCAGTTAGCTGGTCTGCGCGACCTTCTTCTGGAGTGAAAAATATTTCTGCATTTTTTACTTTGCTGCCATTTAGTGAGTTGCTGAACACCAACTTATACTGTTCTTTTAGGATTTCACTCATTTCCTGTTCATCATCAGTATACACATCCCCTCTCAGTAGTGGTCCAATTCTACAGGTAGTTCTTAGCTTGGATTTTGCATAGGAATAGAAATATTTTTGGTTTCTTGCAATATCCTGTATGGCCCTTTGTTTCCTTTGTATTTCTTCTGTGAGGTATGACATCCAAAGTTTTTGCTCTAATTCAGTGATCTCTCGGCTAAGTCTATCTTTCCTCTGTTGTAGCATATTTGTGTTTTTAAGCAATTCAGTAACCCATTTTCTTCTGTACCATCTCCTATGCTCTCTCTCTATACATGTATATGATCTTCTGGGTTTCCTCAATGGTATGTGTTTCATACATACCTTGAATGATTCTGTATTCAGCTTCTCTAGGCACTGGTGGGGATTTAGGGTGCTCATGTCTGATTCCCAGGATATGTCTGATAGCTCTTGGTTTATTTTTTCCCAGTCAATTCTATGGTTGTTAAAATTAAACTTACTGAACATACCATCTCTAACATTAGTGACGCAGTTTCCTAACCCTAAGTTAATACTCGTTTGAACCTCTATGATGTTATGATCAGAGTACAGTGGACCCCCGCCATACGATATTAATCCATTCCTGAGAGCTTATCGTAAGCCAAAATTATCGTTAGCCAAATTAATTTTCCCCATAAGAAATAATGGAAATCAAATTAATCCGTTCCTGACACCCCAAAGTATGAAAAAAAAAAATTTTTTACCACATGAAATATTAATTTTAATACACACAAACTGAAGAAGACATGCACAATTACTACTCTAGTAAGAATAGAATACATGACACTTACCTTTATTGAAGATCTGGTGATGATTGATGGGATGGGAGGAGGGGAGAGTGTGGATGTTATTGTTTAGAAGGGGAATCCCCATCCATTAGAACTTGAGGTAGCCAGTCCTCTTCCGGGGTTACTTCCCTTCTTCTTTTAATGCCACTAGGACCATCTTGAGAGTCACTGGACCTCTGTCGCACAACAAATCTGTTCATAGAGCTCTGTACCTCCCGTCCCTTTAAGACTTTCCTAAAATGGGCCATAACATTGTCATTGTACAGGTTGCCAACACGGCTTGCAGTAGCTGTGTCAGGGTGATTTTCATCCGTAAAGGTTTGCAGTTCAACCCACTTTGCACACATTTCCTTAATCTCTTTTTTTAATTCCCTACTAATTCTCGCCCTTTTTACCACAGGGATGGCACTAGAAGCTTTCTTGGGGTCCATGGTGACTTATTTTGCAGTTACAAGCACTAAAAACACTGGGATAATGTGAAATGTACCAAATATATGTGTAGATGCAACCGCACTGGCTGGCTTGTAAACACTGGCACTGAGGCCACATGTGGGACGTGTCCGGGACAAATCACGTAAGGCGAGTTTTTTATTGTGAGGCGAGGCAAAATTTTTGCGTTCAAATGCTTCGTATGGCGGATTTAACGTAACGCGATGCGTTCGTAAGGCAGGGGTCCACTGTATATTGTTTTTGTACCTGTTATGTCTCTGATCAGTTCCTCATTGTTTGTGAATATGAAATCCAGAGTATTTTCATTTCTAGTGGGATTAATTACCTGTTGGTTTAAAGAGTACTTTTCACAAAGCCTCATTAGTTCCCTGCTATGTGCCTGTTGAGCCAGGGTGCTTCCCGGAGATATTTCTGGTATAACATTACGTTGTGCCATCTTCCATTTTACATGAGGGAGATTAACATCTCCAAGGATTAAAATATTTGGTGTGGGATTTTCTAGTCTATCCAGATAGCTATCTATCTTCCTTAGCTGATCTGTGAATTCCTCAGCAGTTGCTGATGGTGGTTTGTATACTAGGATAATTACCAAATTCCTATTTTCAACTTTAATGCCGAGAATTTCTACTATATCATTTGTAGAGTTCAGCACTTCTGTGCAACAGTAAGTATCCTTTACATAGATTCCTACTCCTCCCTGTGACCTATTGATTCTATCACATCTGTACATGTTGTAATTTTCTATCTTTATCTCTCCATCCAAAACATTCCTTGTATATGTTTCTGTAAATACTCCAAACATGGCATTTGCTTCTGTTAGGAGCCCACCGACATAACTAACTTTGTCATTTTTATTTGATTTCAAACCCTGAATATTTGCAAATATGAAGCAGGAATTACCATTGGAATGTTTTGTCTCACTTTGTGTTGCATTAGTACCACTGGTGATGTACTAGCTGGTATGTCCCCTGGTGTACACGCCCCTGGTTTCTCCAGGACTGGCTTCGTGTTTGGTTGCTTATTCAGCCTTGATGGGCTGATGCCTGGTTTGGTACGCCCCATTTTACTGCCCACCTGTCCTCCGTGTACCATTCCTCCTGTTTGTCTCTTCCTTTGGTTCGAGCTTTTCTCTTTTTGTCTAAAAAAGATTGCTGTTCAATTTCCCTTTCTCTGCTAACTGTAGCGCCGCATTCCTGGACATTCTCTGGACTGCATTGACACTTTACACATTATCGGATGGAAGTACCTGCACTCTTTGTTGAAACAACACTTTCCCTTCCTCAACATGCTGGCACATTTTCTGGTGTATTTATTCCAGCAATCTCTGCCATCAGGACTGTGGTAGTTTCCTTTGATCTTGTAGAAGAATACACGTCTCTCTCCGGCAGAGGCTGTGGGAATAAGGTGCTTATCCAAAAGACCCAATATATCGGAGTAAATATCCTTTAGCTCTTTCTCCACCTGTGTCCTGTAATTCCTGATCATTTCTAACTTTTCCTCGCCACCCTTGTTTTCTTCTTTCTGCTCAATAGAAGAGATTATTCGCCAAGAGGCTCGTCATGCACCAATAACATTCTTGTATGCGACAGATAAAAGGCTCCGCTCCTCTACCATTAGTTCAGTATCCATTGAAGCTACCATTTTCATAGCCTCCACCATTTCGTCGTATCTTTCTGCCTGCTCGCGAGCTTGGCCCTGTAGACGTTATCCTCCCACTCCGTCATGGTGGACCCGCACTGATGACACCGATATTCGGGGATATGTAGAAGTTTTCCCCCACTGCACAAGAACCTTTCCCACAATACGGCCTTACAGATTTGGGACTAGTTCCCTAAGATTTGATGAAGACTCTTTGGCATCACAGTAAAAGTGTTTATTTAATATCATTTATCCTTGCAATTTTGTGTAGGCTAAGGCCTACATTTTTTTCCAAGGCACAACACCCTGGGATTGATCCCTCAATAGCATCTTCAAATACCGCTGCTTTAAACTGTCTGAACACACAGGCACTTCACTGTGTTGCTTTTAGGCTGTTATAGACTCATTGGGATATAACTCAGACAAGGACATTTCTGATAGCAATGCTTTATTGTGGAATGTGTAATAGTTCTCTCACCTAAGCCTAACGTAAACAGTGAACTCACAAGCACTTTGTCCATTGTGTTGATTTCAGGGAATCACACTCGTGGATACAAAACGTCTGAGATATGCATCCGTTATATTTGTTAAGTTTGCTGAGGCTTAACCCTGTGGCTCAGTTCTTTCTGACCAGGTATATGTATTCATCTTAAGTGAGGGAATAGAATAATGCTTGAACACTCAGTAAACAAGGCCTCACTCATCAATGCTGTCTAGTTAGACTGATAAACAATTGTCAAAGTGATGTCTTAATCTTTTAAATAAACAAGTTAAATGATCCTTCGCATTCTTATATCAAGGTCCAATTTTCTCTTGCTTGCTGATTAAAATTCTAGATGGTAATTTTCAAAATACATCTGTTTTGTCTACATTAAACATTTGCTCAGGCTTGTAGCCATCCTCAGAAATAATTCCCTCTGTGCAGTGAAGTTCTGTGTGGCAGCATAATCTGTAGATGCACTTTTCCCACTGAATTTTATGTTATGCAGCCCACTGTGGACTTCTAACAAGTGGAACCAGCCAGAACTAAACAAACACTGTTGCAGGCTTTCCATCCTACCCTCACACTGTCTTACAGTTTAAGAGGATTATTTCCCTGATCATAAGACTATTAGGTTGGACTCTATGCATGGAGGGGCAGAGAGAGAAAACATCCTGCTCCTCATCAAAATGGTTTTTCACCCACATCTTAAGGTATTTAAAAAAAATAAATAGCGAGTTATTGAAAGCTTGAGTTATCATCATGTGAATTATGAGTCTACTGTAGTTGCAAAATGGTAGTAAGATGTGCAAAAGTCCATATTGCATATCTTAACCTAACCTAATTGCCTCTTCAAGATGTAAAAAAGTCAGGATAATCACTGCCAACTCAAAGTGGTGCTTCCAACACATTACTTATTGCAGCTACTTTGATGACTAGTGTTGTTGTGCCATAGCCTGAACTAACTCAACCATTCAGGCTTGCCAGTTCAGTAACTGATAATTCTTAACATATATTACAGAGAGAAGAAAGGGCTATGGATGCTGCTTTAGATGCTATACTGCAGCGTGTTGTTGATATCAAAGGTTCTTTGCAAGAACTAGTGGTCAAGGTTGAGCGAGAAGGTGAACAAGCTGATTGGCCATCATACCTTAACTCATTCTCTGTCATATCTGCACAGGTCAGTATTTTGTTAATTCCCAGTTTTAATTTTTTGTTGTTGTCTCAGTATTGGTGACAACTCTGTAAAGACGTAATGACTTGATACACTTCAATTAACTTGCATTTTCTATGAAACCAATTGTCTGAGGATATTGGCAAAAATCTTTGAGTACATAATGTGCTCAGTATTTTTTCATTTATATAGTACATGTACTAAAATCCTCTGCATTTTAATGTTGTAGGGAAGCGTAGTTTAGCATTTTGATTACCAAAACATTTTCAGTTTTGAGGGGTTTACAGAGATTTTAATGTAGTGTTGAACATTAGCTGTACCTCCCATAATTACCAAAATGTTGAGAAATGCTAATCAGATATGCATAGTAATTAACTAACTAGTTATTTATGCTAATAAGAGATAAGTAACCTAATTGTAAATTGAAAAGGTATAATACAGTACAGTTGTACAAAACAAGTATTTTTTTTATTTAACACACCAAGGCAGAGTGACCTGAAAAAAAAAAAGTTTTACTTCTTTTGACACTTAGTAATTTATACAGAAGGGGTTACTAGCCCCTTATTTCCTGTATTTTAGTCACCCCTTACAACATGCATGGCTTTTGAAGGAAGGATTCTTCTCCACTTTTCCAAGGAGATAAACAAGTACAGCCTCTCCTCACTTAGCGACATATTCGTTTACAGACAACTCGGACTTAAAACGGGCTCCCTGACCAGTATGCATACCTAAATAATGTATACAGTGGACCCTTGACCAACGATGGCATCGTCTAACGTTAAATCCGACTAGCGATACATTTTAACGCAAAAATTTTGCCTCGACTAGCGCTAAAAAACTCGACCAACACGATTCATTCCGTCTGAGACATGTCCACTTGTGGCCAGTGTTTACAAGCCAGCCAGCCACCGCAGTCCCATCTAAACATACAATCGGAGCATTTCATATTATCACAGCATTTTTAGTGATTGCACCTGCAAAATAAGTCACCATGGGCCCCAAGGAAGCTTCTAGTGCCAACCCTACAGCAAAAAGGGTGAGAATTATTATGGATATGAAGAAAGAGATCATTGCTAAGTATGAAAGTTGAGTGTGTGTCTCTGAGCTGACCAGGTTGTACACAAAACCCCAGTCAGCCATCGCTACTATTGTGGCCAAGAAAACGGCAATCAAGGAAGCTGTTCTTGCCAAAGGTGCAACTATGTTTTCGAAACTGAGATCGCAAGTGATAGAAGATGTTGAGAGACTGTTATTGGTGTGGATAAATGAAAAACAGATAGCAGGAGATAGCATCTCTCAAGCGATCATATGTGAAAAGGCTAGGAAGTTGCATGAGGATTTAATTAGGAAAATGCCTGCAACTAGTGGTGATGTGAGTGAATTTAAGGCCAGCAAAGGTTGGTTTGAGAGATTTAAGAATCGTAGTGGCATACATAGTGTGATAAGGCATGGTGAGACTGCCAGTTTGGACCAAAAAGCAGCTGAAAAATATGTGCAGGAATTCAAGGAGTACATAAACAGTGAAGAATTGAAACCTGAACAAGTGTTTAATTGTGACACTGACAATGTTGTGAAACACTTTAGGAATGTCATAAAGGAACGGGAGGTACAGGCTTCTGTGGACAGATATGTTGTGCGACAGAGGTCCAGTGACTCTCAAGCTGGTCCTAGTGGCATTAAAAGAAGAAGGGAAGTAACCCCGGAAAAGGACTTGACACCTCAAGTCCTAATGGAAGGGGATTCCCCTTCTAAACACTAACACCATCCACAGTCTCCCCTCCTCCCATCCCATCAATCATCACCAGATCTTCAATAAAGGTAAGTGTCATGTAATTGTACATGTCTTCTTCAGTTTGTGTGTATTAAAATTAATATTTCATGTGGTAAAAATTTTTTGTTTCAATACTTTTGGGTGTCTTGTACAGATTAATTTGATTTCCATTATTTCTTATGGGGAAAATTAACTTGACTAACGATAATTTCGATTAACAATGAGCTCTCAGGAACGGATTAATATCGTTGGTCGAGGGTCCACTGTATTAGATTTGATTTCCTCTATTTTGTTTATTACAATATATAGTACACTACTATATAAACATTTAAAAATATACTAAAAATGTTATAAATGGTGCAAAGGTGACATTAAAACAATATTAAAGGCGGTTGACACAAAACCACTACCATTATAGTATGTTCCTTGCTTAACGACAAATTCATTTACTGACATGGGCTTAGGAATGGAACTCCGTCGTTAAGTGAGGAGAGGCTATATTATCTTTTTTTTTTTATCCCCTTAACTACATTAAAATCTTTGTAAACCCCATAAACTGGAAACCTGTCTAAAATAAACTTTTTAATGTATATACTCCAAGGTTTAACTGTTAAGACAAACTTTTTAGTTAACTTTTCAGCATAGTTTATTTTCAGATTGCAACTGTGGTCTTTGATATGCTTGTATGATCTTATGTCTGATTATTTTGTCTCCTTTTATTCCTCCTCTCAGCCAGTGGTTATGTTTATTACATATGTATTGATATTTCTAAATACAGCCTTTCCTCACTTAACGACGGAGTTCCGTTCCTAACACCTCATCGGTAAACGAATTTGTCAGTAAGTGAGAAGCATACTATAATGGTAGTGGGTTTGTATCAGCCATTTTTTATATTCTATTAATGTCATCTTTGCACCATTTATAGCATTTTTGGTATATATTTAAATGCTTTTACAGTAGCATACTGTATACGTATTGTAATTAACAGAATAGAGGAAATCAGCTCTAACATACATTATTTAGGTATGAATACTGCTCAAAGAGCCTGTCGTAAGTCCAAGTTGTTAGTAAACAAGTATGTTGCTAAGTAAGGAGAGGCTGTACTGTACTCTGCACATAATTTGTCTTTATGTTTGCTTTCTAGTCTGTATTGTGTAAATGCTTTTAGGTGATTATTTGCCTCAATTTCATTATCTCTTACTGGAATTATGCTGTTATGATTTGTACCTGAAATAACATACCATTCATTTATACAGGTATCATCCCTACAAATTCACAGACTTATGTACTCACAGGTTTTCATTATCCAGTTATTTTACTGGAGGGTAACCCAATTTTTTTATTTTGATCGCTGTATCTTATGAGTGTCAGTATTAATCAGATTAGACTGATATATTACAGATAAATGGTTTCTAAAAAAAAAAAATGAACTTGTATATGAAACAGAATTTGTTACGTAGTTTTAATTTTGTATTATTCAGAATTTCTACTTTCATAGGACCTTTGGGAATGTAACCCCTTGCAAATTTGTTATGATGACTGTACTGTATACCGCACACAGACTAGAGAGAGATTTTATGGATAAGTGCTTATAAATGTTAATAACGTTTACTTTTGAGATGAATTAATGGGCATAAATATTTTTATTCATCAGATATATACACTCATGAAGCTATTGAAAAATGAGAAAACACCCATTCTCCGTAACTATCTTACACTCCCGCTTCAATTGAATGCTGACCCTGATGAAAAATTGCTTGTGGCCACTGAAGGCAGAGTTCCATCCTTTAGTCATGACTTTGTACCTAACATGCTGAGAACAAAGCCAGAGCCAGATGTAGAACAAAGGCATTTAGCTTTGGAGGCCAAGATGGCACAAGTTAATGCAGACACTGCACAGGTATGTTGGAATGCTAGTGTTTGTAATCTTTAGTGAAAACAAAGAATTCATTGTAGAGTAAGTATGTTGGTTAGTGTTATGAGCCACTTTGTATGCACTAGAATAACAGAATGAATAACATCATGTTGAGATAGCAGAAAACATGCAAAATGTATGTATTTTGGAATATTTTAAGACTTATCACATGACATAAGAATTATGGATGACATGGGTTTATCACTTTTTTGCAATATAACAATAATATGGAGAAGACAGTGATTTATAAAAATTTATAAATAAATAATCACACTTCATAGCTTTCAGTAGTTTAAATTTCATGAAAAATTCCTAAAAACACTGAATAAACAAGTACAGTTTTCTTTCATACCTCCTCAGAAACAAATCAATGTTCACAATAAAGTAGTGAAACATGTAATGGACTTGGTGAACACAGCCCGAGAGGAATGGGAGACAGAGACAGCCTCCCGCACTAATCAGCCGCAGACATGTTCCATCAATGAGACTCAAGCTTTAATTGCTGCCTTAGGTACAGGCAAGGGTTTCAAGATACGAACTCAACCACCAGGACCATCACCCACCATGACACAACAACCTCCCCCTCAAAGTAAGTAAGCACTGTAGTTACAGTGGATTTTTCTTTTTAATGTTTCAGTATACAGCAGGGCCCCATTTTACAGCGTTTCGCCTTTCAGCGTTCTGCTAATACAGTGATTTCAAATTATGACCAAAATTTGCTATACAGTGAGCGGTCTTTCAAATACAGCGCTCCCCACTCGGTTTGTTTACATTCTCCGTGAGCACATATCTCTATTATGTCTGGAAATTTTCCAGAATTTCAAGTGTTTCAAAGCTATTGCATATTTTATATGTACTCTGATAATTATATTATGTGTACCTGTACCTAAATATACCTACACACTGTGCTGGCATGCAGGTGCACACTAAAATTACTAAGAATCTCTCTACTCTCAAAGACGTGCATTAAATGTCGTATATTACGCTAATGTAGACATTTCTGTTAATCCATCTATGATATTTTTTCCAAAATTATGTAATAAACATATTACGTAACATGAACATAATACATACACCCTCAGTATAAAAATTGACATAAATATGAGATTTGTTTGTGAAATGGTTGGTGGGATTGTCAGAAGGATTACGTTTTTTCTGGTCAAACACCAGTAACTTAACTAGAAATTTATTCCTTTCTTATGCTTTCAATTTATCTATAGTTATTCATGACCCTTGTGGGTTTAGCACTTTTTTTATTATGACTATAATAATAACAACTTGTAATAATAATAATTTGTAATAATAATAATAATAATAATAATTATTTGTCAGAGCATCATTCCTTCTAAAAATTACATGAGAATGGAAATGTTGGTCTTTATTTATTCTACTGTACCACTGTGGAGACAGTGGTACAGTAAAATAAATTGTCTGTATTATGATATAAGCTTTACAAATATGGAAATGGACGTTTATCAACTCACCAGCCGTGTTCGTCTGTTTACATACTCTGCAGCTCTGTCCTCTCTCATTTAGTCGTTCTCTCTCTCTCTTAATTTATTCATTTTTATATCATTTACTCACCTCTCACCTTACATTAAGACTACAAATATTTTAAGGTAAGTAATGATTGTACTGTCTATGCATTTTATCACTCTAGGGCACTTAAGCGTCGTAGTATATTATGTGTGCGTGGGGTGGCTAGGAGGGCTACCACACCTGACTTCTTACAGTAAATACTAGTCACCCTTTGCCTTACATTAAGACTACAAATATTTTGAGGTAAATAATGACTGTACTGTGTGTGTATTTTACTTTTTATTGTTTTTAATGCCTAGTTCTATTGCTAACTTAATATATGTTAGTGTAAACTTGTTATCCGGCATTTATATGCATTTATAAGTGGAAAAAATGGAGTTCTGCTTTCCGGCAGTAGCCTGGAACCTAACCTGCCGTATAAGTGGGGCCCTACTGTATATGTAAAGGTATTTGAGAATGAGATGTATGAAATAACCCAGTAAATAGAATCCTGAGAGAAAGAAGTGAGATATGGTTAGCAGAAAAAATAACCAGCAATAAAAAAATAACAAATGATCATAATTATAGAATTTTGGAAATGGAAGACAATCAGGTTTGATCCAGAGAAAGGGAAGGTAGTAATAAGGTAGTTTCCTTGCTGCTGAAGGGCTCTTGATCCAAAGAATTGGACTTGTCCTCCCCTTTCTCTAAATCAAGCCTGATTGGTTCCCATTCCCAGGTGCTCTATGACCCCTATGGGTTTAGTGCATCCCACTAAATACGTATAATAAAAAAAATTAAAATCAAGAGTCCTTCACCATCATCAAGAAACTCCCTGAACCCTTTGACTGTCGCAACCCCAAATCCTGGTGTCGAAAAATTTAAAAAAAAAATTATTTTGTGAAATGATAGAGAATCTTTTCCCGATGGTAACGACACCAAAAGTATGAAATTTGATCGAAACCTTATGGAATTACGCTCTTGTGAAGTTAGCGACCTTGATGTTATTTACGCATCGGCGATTTCGCCCAGTTTGAGCCCTATTTTCGGCCAATTCCATTGTTCCAGTCGACCAAACTCATAGTTATTTCTTTAGAACTTCCATTTGTTCTATCGATTGAGTACAAGAAACCGCCCATTTACCAATATCAACTACCCAATAAAGTGGTCAGAAATTGGCAATTTGGCCAATTTCATGCAAATTAAAAAATATGTCAATTTCAAAATAAGGTCCAGAATGAACAATGCAGACATTCTTAGCTCTAAAATAACATTTTCTCTGTTCATTTTCTCTGTTGTAATACTCTTGCTTTCTATTTTGAATTTGTATTCACACAAAAAATAGAAGATTTGTTATGCAGACATACTGCAATATTGTAATAATTGTATAAATAATGTCAACCCATTCATGACTGCATATTAAAATGGCTAGTTGGACATTTATTGGACAGTGACATCATTTGTTTACTCTTGAACATCGACAAAAATCGAACATTTGTGCCAATTTGAGCTCCATTTCAAGATCTTTTTCATAGTAAAGCCAATCAAAATCACTTCTGTTTCTATAATATGTTTTCCATTCTATCAAATGAGACCAAGAAACAAGAATACAACCATAAATACTATACAAAAATACACCTCAGTCTGTTTTAGTCCAAAAACACGGTTGGAGTTTTTTTTCTCATTATGCACTGCATGCTGCAGGATTTTTTTTTATACTGGACACGTTGACCACACAGACCCATTCTCTCACATGTGGACCTACCAGCTTTCTCCTGCTTGATTTGAAGCCGCTAGAATTTTTGAGTATACATGTATATACGTCAAACACATTGGCTCATAAGACGTATATATATACAACTAAAACAGTCAAAGGGTTAAAGGGGTAATGATAGTGTTTGTAACTTTTAGAAGGGGACAAGGAAACAGATACATACTGTTTTTTGGTAGCAGAAGCTTAACCCTTTGACTGTTTTGGTCGTATATGTGTGTTTGACGTATATATACTCAAAAATTCTAGCGGCTTCAAATCAAGCGAGAGAAAGCTGGTACTCCCACATGTGAGAGAATGAGTCTGTGTGGTTAGTGTGTGCAGTATAAAAAAAAAATCCTGCAGCACACAGTGCATAATGGGAAAAAAAACTGTTTTTGGATTAACCCTTTCAGGGTTTCGGCCATACTAGTACGGCTTACGCACCAGGGTTTTTGACGTACTAGTACACCTAAATTCTAGCACCCTCAAATCTAGTGAGAGAAAGCTGGTAGGCCTACATATGAAAAAATGGGTCTATGTGGTCAATGTGCGCGGTATAAAAAAAAATTCTGCAATACACAGTGCGTAATGAGAAAAAAAAACTTTGACCGTGTTTTTGGATTAAAACAGCGACTTTGCACTGTATTTTCGTATGGTATTTATTGTTGTATTCTAGTTTTCCTGGTCTCATTTTATAGAATGGAAGACATATTACAGAAATGGAGATGATTTTGACTGGTTTTACAAAGAAAACTACCTTGAAATTGCGCTCAAAGTAGCAGAAATGTTCGATTTTTACCAAAGTTCAAAAGTAAACAAATCATGCTATGCGTCCAACACACGTCAACTGGTGAGTCTAATATTCTTTCACAAGTGCGCTGATAATATTTATACCATTTCTACACCAATGCAGTAGTCTACATAACAGTAAATCTTCTATTTTTTTGTGAGAATAAAAATTCAAAGTGGAAAGCAAAGGAATGTAAGAGGGGCATGGGGACATGACTAATGAACAGAGGAAATGTTATTTTAGTGCCTGGAATGTCTTGTTTATTCTGGACCCTATTCAGAAATTGGCATCATTTGAAATTTGTGTGAAATTGGCAAAATTGCTAAATTCTGACCACTGCATTGGATAGTTGAAATCCGTAAATGGGTGGTTTCTTGTACTCATTTGATAGAACAAATGAAGTTCTAGCGAAATAGTTATGATTTTTGTCGACAAGTACACTGGAATTGGCCAAAAATAGGGCTCAAAGTGGGCAAAATCGCCGATGCGTAAACATCATCAAGACTGCTAACTTTGCGAGAGCATAATTCCGTAAGTTTTCCATCAAATTTCATACTTTTGGTGTTATTATGATCGGGAAAAGATTCTCTATCTTTTTATAAGATTTTTTTTTTTTTTTTTTTTTTTTTTGAAATTTGGGCAACCCTGAGAACAAGTCTCTGAGAGGGCCTGTCGACCCTGAAAGGGTTAAAACGCCGAATTTGAGGTGTATTTTCGTATAGTATTTACTTTTGTATTCTCATTTTCTTGGTCTCATTTGATAGAATGGAAGACATATTATAGAAATAGGGATGATTTTGATTGGTTTCATTATGAAAAGGACCTTGAAATGGAGCTCAAAGTATCAGAAATGTTCGATTTTTGCTGATGTTCAAGAGTGAACAAATGACATCATTGTCCAAAAAATGTCCAACTAGCCATTCTAGTACACAGTCACGAATGGGTTGACATTATTTATACAATTATGCACACTACTGCGTTATTGTAATAACAATAAATCTTCTATTTTTTGTGTGAATAAAATTCAAGAGGGGCTTGGAGACATGACTGATGAACAGAGAAAATGTTATTTTAATGCCAGGAATGGCTGCATTGTTCATTCTGGACCCTATTTTGAAACTGGCATATTTTTTGATTTGCATGAACTTGACCAAATTGCCAATTTCTGACCACTTATTGGGTAGTTGAAATCGGTAAATGGGCAGTTTCTTGTACTCAAGCGATAGAACAAATGGAGTTCTAAAGAAATAGCTATGAGTTTGGTTGACTGGAACAATGGAATTGGCCCAAAATAGGGCTCAAAGTGGATGAAATCGCTGATGCATAAATATCGCCGAGATCACTAACTTCATGAGAGCGTAATTCCGTAAATTTTCCATAAAATATTGTACTTTTGGTGTCATTAGCATCGGGAAAAGATTCTCTATTATTTCATAAAAAAGTAATTTTTTTTTTTTCAGTGGACCCCCGCATAACGATATTAATTCAATCCAGAAGTCTGTTTGGGTGCCGTTATAGACCAAATTTGTTCCCATAAGAGATATTGTGAATTAGATTAGTCTGTTTCAGACCCCCAAAAATACACCTACAAAAGCACTTACTAAAATACACTTACACAATTGGTCGAGTTGGGAGCTGATCGTTATGCGGGGGTCCACTGTATTTTGCGACACTGAGAGACACTAGGATTGGGGGTTGCAACAGTCAAAGGGCTAATATACTTGAAGGAAAAGTTAATTTTTTTGTTATTGGAAACTGACCCATATGATTTTAATCTTTTTTTTATGCGATACTTTATTTTCAATTAGCTCGTAAAAAAATTATTGATTATGCATCCTTATAATTTTGCCTGGCTTAAAAATTTTGAGTAAGTTGGTCTGCCAGAATTTATTATTACCAAATTAAGTTTACCCCTTATTTAAATGATGATATAAGTACTGATCTGTGTTTTTAAACAGGTTTCCTAGATGTTAAAAATTAAGCTTATTTTATATGCCTGTATCAGCAAGTTCTTAATTAACATTAGTAAAAGTGTGCCACTTATAAGTTATTTTATTGGGAAAGATGTATGCTCGTTGACAGATAGGTAAATTCACACGAGTAGAGCGCACATTATAAGCATTGTTTTGTTCTTTCTGTTTTTTTACAGTAAATACAGCAAATAAGGCAGTTAGTGCAGTTAAGACCAACATCAAGGCTGCAACTGCAATTCACCCATATAGTCGATAGATGTAATAACATGGGCATTGACTGAGGAGAATCAAGATTCTGCTTGCCTTTTTCCAGTATTAGACTTGCAATAAAAGAGATGATACTGTAATGTTAAAAGTTTTGTGTTAAATTTAACTATTTTTTGTTATATTATGGACATTGATTTTGTCTTCCAATAAGGTCTTTGAACGAATAAATAATTGATTTGTTTTATGACTATTTTTATCCTATTGCATATTCTAGCTTAAAGTGGTGTAGTATTGCTGTAACACAGGTATACTCTACAGTTAACAAATAATGTGTTACACCAAAAACTGTCATTATGCAATTTATTGTAGAGTATAGTATATTAAATCACAAAATTTTCATATATGTATTCTTATCCTTCCCCATGTTATGTAAATACTTCAGAAATGGGTCTATGCCCAACCTTAGAAGTGGCTCTAGGCTGTATGGTGCTACATAATTATCAAGGTCCAAGTTTCCCTTGAACAAACATGGTGGTGGCAGTAGCTTGATGCAAGTGACTTATGTTTTCTCCTGACTTGAGTTGAATCAAATAGGTTTAAATTCAGTTGGTGACATACAATTTCAACAATATAAAGAGTACAACGGGAAATGGGAATACTGTATTTAGGCAAAGCAAGACACGGGAGAGGTGTGAGTGCCCTAAGCACGTAAATAAATGTAAAGGTTATGTTATGGAGTTTGCCAAACAAGGATTTAGGCCAGGTGAACAAAGGAATAAAATGTCAATTCAATGTAAGGCATGAGAGACTACTGTATCAGTATATATAAAGAGGAAGAAAAGTCAAGTGTGGAAAGCATCAGGTGAGTGATGTGTTACTCAGGTCATTTGATACTGGTGTTCCCTAAGTAGCACCATATTGGCCAACACATTTGGCATGTTAAGACTTGGATTTCTGGAATAAAGTTTTAGAAATGGCAATCAGTGATGCCTCCAGGCAGCACCCTTTGAGCAGATTAGTTTTTTATTATATGATTAACAGATGGCCTTGCAATCTGTGATGACGCAGCATGTGGGTCACTGCAGTTTATATGGTGTATTTATGCTCTTTTTTTAGGTGCTATTCCAAACTTCTTGCCTTCTTTCCTACATATATTTTATTACAGCCATCATATGGGAAGACAGACTCCTACATTAGCATCTATGGCTGTGGCAGTGGCCTTCCTAACCACATCTTTGACATTAGCAGAAGAACTGGTGGCCACTCGCTGCTATGCTGCAGAAGGGAGGAAAATATACTGTACCTTTTAGTGGGGCTGTCTGAAGTTAGTGTGTTCATGATCCATTGTGATCTTCTGCAATCATTGATAAAATGCAACAGGATCTGGAGACATAAATGCATGCCAAAATATTTTGACAGTAAAGATAACCAAATGCTGTGCATGTATCTTATTCATCAACTTTTTGGTATTGTATATCAGTAATGTGATATTTGTCTGACACAGCAGCACCGAAGTATCTTAGTACAGGGGAAGTCTTTTGCAACTATTTTGCTGAACAGTTGTTTAGCATAACCTACTTTCATTAGTATGTCATGCTCACTTATGATGTCACATCCAGCTGCTACACCTCACTTTTGCTCTAGTACATAAGGTCTGGCTGCATGTCTCTACTTTAGACTGAGCAACTGGCTACGAACTTTCGAGCCTGAAAGATTGATCATTTCAAATTATTTTTTCTAATGTCTCTAGTGATATATTTGCCTATATTTGACTGAAGAAGCCTGCTGTGCTGGTGAAATGTTTCAGTAATAAAGGTACATACATACTGTCACAAATATATAGGCACTGTATGACCCCCGACCGATTTAGCACTCTTTCTCCAATGAATTTAATAATCCTACAGTCCTCACACTATATATACCTGTGTACTCTCTACAAATGTGTAAAAACTTCATATCTTTTCATTCTGGAAATATCCCCACCCTTCAGAGTGTAGGCATTGTACTTCCCACCTCGAAGACTCAAATCTGTGTGTATTACACACACACAGGTTAGGGGAAGACATAATAATGACATACAAAATACTGCAAGGAATTGACAAGGTGGACAGAGACAGGATGTTCCAGAGATGGGACACAGTAGCAAGGGGTCACAATTGGAAGTTGAAGACTCAGATGAGTCAAAAGGATGTTAGGAAGTATTTCTTCAGTCATAGAGTTGTTAGAAAGTGACGTAGTGGAGGCAGGAACCATACATAGTTTTAAGACAAGGTTTGATAAAGCTCATGGAGCAGGGAGAGAGAGGACCTAGTAGCAATTAGTGAAGAGGAGGGGCCAGGAGCCACAAATAGGTGAGTACACACACGCATGTGCATATGTACGTACTTCCTACAAGGAGACGTTAAGGGAAATTGACCTGATGACACTAGGATGGGGGGGGGGGAACATGATAAAGACATAAAATACTGAGCAGAATTGATAGGGTGGACAGAGACAGGAGTTCCAGAGATGGGACACAGTAACAAGGGGTCACAATTGGAAGTTGAAGACTCGGATGAGTCACAGGGATATTGGGAAGTATTTTTTCAGGAAGCGGAATAGTCTGAAAAGTGATGTAGTGGAGGGATGATCCATACATAGTTTTAAGAAGAGGTACAATAAAGCTCATGGAGAAGGGAGTGGGCCTAGTAGCGACCAGTGAAGAGGTAGGGCCAGGAGCTATGACTCGACCCCTGCAACCACAATTAGGTGAGTGCGTGCACACACATAATAGGTGAGTATACACACAGATACACACATAGCTTTAAGGTGAGGTATGATAAAGCTCATGGAGCAGGGAGAGAAAGGACCTACTAGCGTTCATTGAAGAGGCAGGGCCAGAAGCTGAGTCTCGACCCCTGCAACCACAATTAGGTGAGTACAATTAGGCGAGTACACACACAGTACACACATACAGATGCACACACACACATACATACACACACACAGGGTGACGGCAGTAAGACAAGAGAGAGAGGGGTGGGTAGATTGCATTTTCTTGGACTGTAAGGCGTTTGACACAGTTCCACACAAGAGATTTGTGCTGAAGCTGGAGGACCAAGCAGGGATAACAGGGAAGGCACTACAGTGGATCAGGGAATACCTGTCAGGAAGCCAACAGCGAGTCATGGTACGTGGCGAGGTGTCAGAGTGGGCGCCGGTAACGAGCGGGGTGCCACAGGGATCAGTCCTAGGACTGGTGCTGTTTCTGGTATTTGTGAACGACATGACGGAAGAAATAGACTCCGAGGTGTCCCTGTTTGCAGATGATATGAAGTTGATGAGAAGAATTCAGTCGGACGAAGACCAGGCAGAACTACAGAGGGATCTGGACAGACAGTAGGCCTGGTCCAGCAACTGGCTCCTGGAGTTCATCCACACCAAGTGCAAAGTCATGAAGATTGAGGAAGGGCAAAGAAAACTACAGACGGAGTTCAGTCTAGGGGGCCAGGATCTTGGTGTGAGTATAACACCGGGAATATCTCTTGAGGCGCACATCAACCAAATAACTGCTGCAGCATACGGGCGCCTGCAAACCTAAGAACAGCATTCCGACATCTAAATAAGGAGTCATTCAGGACCCTGTACACTGTGTACGTTAGGCTCATATTGGAATATGCAGCGCCAGTTTGGAACCCTCGCCTATCCAAGCATGTAAGGAAACTAGAGAAAGTGCAGAGGTTTGCAATAAGACTAGTCCGGAGCTAAGGGGTATGTCCTACGTGGAGAGGTTAAGGAAAATCGACCTGACGACACTGGAAGACAGGAGAGTTAGAGGGGATATGATAACGACATAAAATACTGAGAGGTATTGACAAGATGGACAGAGACAGGATGTTCCAGAGATGGGACACAACAAGGGGTCACAGTTGGAAGCTGAAGACTCAGATGAACCACAGGGATGTTAGGAAGTATTTCTTCAGTCACAGAGTTGTCAGGAAGTGGAATAGCCTGGGTAGTGATGTAGTGGAGGCAGGTCCCATACATAGCTTTAAGAAGAGGTATGATAAAGCTCACAGAGCGGGAAGAGTGACCGGGTAGCTGCCAGTTGAAGAGGTGGGGCCAGGAGCTGTGAATCGACTCCCGCAACCGCAACTAGGTGAGTACACACTGATACATACACGCATATACAACAGGCCTAGTGTCTAATCGACATGTGCCTAGGACAGTAAGGAATCGTTCAAGACTCTGTACACCATATACGTCAAGCCCATACTAGAGTACGCAGCACCAGTTTGGAATCCATACCTGGCCAAGCACGTCAAGAAATTAGAGAAGTGCAAAGGTTTGCAAGAAGAATAATCCCAGAGCTAAGGGGAATGTCCTACGAAGGAAGGCTAGGGGAAATTGGCCTGATGACACTGGAGGACAGGAGGGTTCAGGAAAGACATGATAACGACATATAAAATACTGCGCGGAATAGACAAGGTGGACAAAGACAGGATGTTTCAGAGATGGGAGCTGTATAGCCCTTGTGGCTTAGCGCTTCTTTTTTATTATAATAATAATCCAGAGATGGGCCACAGAAACAACAGGTCACAATTGGAAGTTGAAGATTCAGATGAGTCAAAGGGATGTTAGGAAGTATTTCTTCAGTCATAGAGTTGTCAGGCAGTGGAATAGCCTAGAAAGTGACGTAGTGGAGACGGGAACCATACACAGTTTTAAGATGAGGTTTGATAAAAGTCACGGAGCAGGGAGAGAGAGGATCCAGTAGCATTCAATGAAGAGGTGGGCTAGGAGCTATGACTCGACCCCTGCAACCACAAATAGGTGAGTACACACACACACACGCGCACTAGGTGGCCAATGACTGCAAACCTCGCTCAAGGAGAAAGATCTTGGGGTGACCAGAACACCGAGCATGTCTCCGGAGGCACACATCAACCAGATAACTGCTGCAGCATATGGGCGCCTGGCAAACCTGAGTGTAGCGTTCCGATACCTTAGTAAGGAATCGTTCAAGACACTGTACACTGTGTACATCAGGCCCATACTGGAGTATGCAGCTCCAGTTTGGAACCCACACCTGGGCAAACACGTCAAGAACTTAAGAGAAAGTGCAAAGGTTTGCAACAAGGCTAGTTCCGGAGCTCAGGGGAATGTCCTAGGAAGAAAGGTTGAGGGAAATCGGACTGACGACATTGGAGGACAGGCGGGTCAGGGGAGACATGATAATGACATACAAAATACTGCAATAC